ACTCAGTTATGACAGCCCCCGATCTTGTCCTAAACAGGTCTGCTGGCCTCCTCTCTCTCTCTCTCTAATCAAATCAAGTGAGTGAACACCGTTCTGGGCACCCGATGGCATTAGCATCATGTAAAGGCTGTACACACAGTAGCAAGGGCCGCAGCCGTGGTGGAACCCTAGCTCCTCTGCTTTCTTATTGAGTGATCTTCAGCAGGAAACTTCACCTCTCTGTGCCTTTATTTCCTTGCATATAAAATAGAATAGAAATCAGAGGTACCTCATAGAAGTGTCAAGAGGCATAAACAAGGTGATATATGTAAAGTGCTTTAGCACCAAGCCTGGTGTGCCCTAAAAAATGAGACCCATGATTACCGCAGCCTCCAGAAGAATCTTCCTAACACCAGCTTTGTACACATCACAATACCCAAACTCTGTGCTGCCCTATGTCTAAACTCCTACCTCTGGTGCCGGGGTCTCCACAAGTTTGTTACTCCCCCTTCATCCTCCTCAATCCCCACTGCCTCCCCAACAAACCTTCCATCTGAATGAACCTGGGCAAATCCTTGTCCCCGATTGTTTCTGACTCTGCTCATATGCACAGAACATCTCCCACTGGTCATGGAGCTCCATCAGCATATATGCCTCAAATAGAATGTCTGCTAGGTCTGGGACCTTGTGTGGAACCCAAAGGTACAGTAGAAAACAAAAGAAGGCAAGGCTCCTGCCCTTAGCGCACTGAGTGGAAGAGTGGGGAGTGGAGAAACAGACCTTGAAGAAATGAACATATAATTGCAGTGGTGGCTGGTGCTATGAAGATGGCTCAGATACAGAAGCATCTACTTTAACCCACCAGCCGGGGAGGGCTTTCTGGGAACAGAGTATTTCAACTGAGGCATGACATATAAGAAGGGACTGGCCTGGAAAAGAACATGAGGAAGAACCTTTCAGAGGAAGGGAACAGCATGTGCAAAGGCCCTGTGGCTGAAAGGCCAGAGGGTTAGAACATAACTGGAAGGCAGGGACTAGGATAGGGAGAATGGAGAAACATAAAATAAAACAGAAGACGTGGCCTGGAATGAGGGCCCAGCACCTCCCTAAAGCTTCCTACCCTTCTTCACTCTTTGATTTCCTCTGCCAGATTCTTCTGGGTCTTGCTTTTTCCACCACTTATCCAGAACTTGACACTGTATGTATTTAAATCCCCAGAGTCAAGAATAAAGGAGGAGGCTGGGCACGGTGGCTCACACTTATATGTAATCCTAGCACTCTGGGAGGCCAAAGCCAGAGGATCCTTTGAACTCAGGAGTTCAAGACCAGCATGAGCAAGAGCAAGACCCTATCTCTACTAAAAATAGAAAAAATCAGCCAGTCACTGTGAGTACCTGTTGTCCCAGCTACTTGGGAGGCCGAGGCAGGAGGATCGTTTGAGCCCAGGGTTTGAGGTTGCTGTGAGCTAGGCTGTATCATGTCCCTCTGTACTGAGACAACAGAGTGAGACTCTGCCTAAAAGAAAAGAAAAAAAAAACATCAGAATGTAAGGAGAATCACCTCCTTGGGTGAGCAGCTGCTCCAGACACCCTAACCTGAGTCCTGGCCCTCCAATTCTGCAGCGTGAGGATGAGGGTGGTGCAACACTGACCTGGGCTCACACTGTTCGGGCTCTCACCCTCCCAAGGGAATCCAGCTTGCACACTGGGCTGGCCTCCACTTATTTTGGTTTCTTTGAGTACTTTTGAATAAAGCCCTTATCAGGGTGGGGATCTCTGTTTTCAAAAATTGATCTGCCCCTTTGAACAGGATGTCAGGCCTCTCACGCCATTGGCCAATGCTGAACTCGGAGTGCCCGGGGGCATGTGAGCGGGGACGGGGAGGCTGTGAGAGGCTGCTGCAGCCCTCGCTCTCCCCACAGGAACTAAATAAAGCTATTGTTGGGAAGGGAAGAGAGAAAATAGCCCCACAAGATGTTTTTTGTCCTCCGTGACCTGTCTGTGTTTGGGGAGGGGCTGACATGTTGCAGAGCAGTGGAAATGGAATGGCCTTTGAAAGGGATCTGAACGCTTTAGAAGCGGGGAGGGTGACTGGGAGAAGATCTCGCTAACAGTGGGCAGAGAGCTTGCCCCGTTTTCTTACATAGAACGTGGGGAAGAGAAAGGGTGCTAACACATAGAAAGTGCTCGGTCCCATTCCTGGACTGGTGCCAGTAAATAGCCTCATTCTTGGCCTGGAGGTAACTTGATGGGTGGACTCGCCCAGCATCGAGCTCTAAAAACTAACTTTAGAGAATGTCTCCAAATTCTGCTGGTCCTCCGCTTAAAAAGCCTTGGCCTCTAGGAATTAAAACACTAGCTCCTAAGGACAAGTGTACAGAAATGTTTAGTGAAGTCTTGCTTACAGTCATAGGAAGGGGGGAGAGAGAGGAGGAGGAGATAGAGAAGAAAGAGAGTGTGCGGCACAGCGTCCATGAATAGGAAAAAACCTGAAGAATTACAGCTCACACGTACATGCATAGATCATGCAGCTATTACAAAACCACTAGGGGGCGGCGCCTGTGGCTCAGTGGGGTGGCGCTGGCTCCATATACGGAGGGTGGCAGGTTCAAACCTGGCCCCAGCTAAACTGCAATAACAACAACAACAACAAAAAACCCACTAGGGTAGGACTGTATTTATTGACACGGGAAAGGGAGTGTGTATGGTGGGATATGAAATGATAAGAGCAATTTTGGAGAAAACAAACGTCAACTTCAACCATATCTGTGCATATATTTTTGCAAAGACTACGGGAGGTAAGGGACTGGAAGAAACAGACCCAGACACAGTGGGCAGGTGATATTAGTTACCTGGGTTGGGGAAGAGGACTGGAAAGTACATAAGGAAAGCAAAGTCTGCAGGGATCATGGAAAACGCTTCTGCTATCGCATTAAGTGACAAGATAGACACAACCTTTTCTCTCTAAATTATTATAGAATATCCTGGGGTGTTTTATCGGACATAAAAATGAGGATTATACAGTAGGATGGACCAAGACAAACGCTGATTTGATTAGATGATGAGATTGTAGACAGTTCTTGTCTCAAATGTGTATGGTCATTTAATACCGTTATTTCAATAAAGAACGGTAGAACTTTTTATTTCACTTAAAAAGAAAGAAAGAAAAGCTCCTGAAAGTCTCCTCACTTCCTCTACCACCCCCTTTTTCAGTCAAGCACCAACTGGGGCCTCTTAGTGTTTGTTATAATCAATCTCAAGCTGGCCTCTGGCCCTCAGTCTCCCCTGGTACAAATTCATCCTGCCCCAGGTTACCCTCTTGCCCCAGAACCATCCTACTGCCCACAGTCCATCCAGCAACCTCAACTCTTCTGTTCAGCTTTGAAGGCCACCCCTCAAAAATCTGGCCCCAAATTGGCTCTTCTTTCTCTTCAGCACCAGCCCAGAGTCTTGGGAGCCCATACATGCTTCCAAGAACCCCATTTCCAGCAAATCAAAGTAAAAAAGGGCAAAGGAAATTGTCCCCAGTATCATGAACATTCACCGCTTTCCATGAATTTATGAATGCTTTCTTTGCAGTATCTTTAAAAAGCCTGAGGTTTTTCTAGATTGGCTTTCTGTGTCCTTCAAGCCCCGCTGTTTCTGCAAAGATGGCTTGGGTAAGATGATTCTGCCAGGTAACAAAAGCCCCGTGGTAAAAATGTACCCATTGATTCCACTTCCCATAGGCCAGATTAGTAAAAAGTCAGTCTTTCCACCCCAACCATTGAGAGCTCTTTCCCTTCCCCTGAGAGCATAAGTGGATACAATCACTTTGGAGAGCAATGTGAAAATATCTAACAAAGCCAAAATATGGAAGCATTCCCCAGACCCCCTAGAGAACGTCACAACATGTTTAAAGGGAGTAATGACCAAGGGTGTTTGTAGTAGAAAAATAGTAACCACCTCAATGGGCACCAGCAGGAAATACATACATAGTGACCTGTGTGGAAGGGGATAGTACACAGAAGTGAAGAGGAATCAGAGCTGCAAATGTCAACACATGCGCAGTTGACAAGCAGCGTGCACAAGGGTTGTATAAGAATGGATTCTCCGATACTACTTGTATCCATTTAAAAATGTGTAATACGTATTGCCTGGGAATTATCTACATAACAGTAAACGTATAAATAATTGTGCTAGAGAATAATAAATGCACAATCTATCTAATGGGTACCTCTGGGGTGAGGAGAAGGAATGGTGATCAGGAAGAAATACAGAAGGCACCAAAAATCTGCATACACATTTTAAGAAAGGAGAATATCATCTTAACATCGTAATACTCAAGATTCACTGATAACAAAAGCTGAATACAAGTCGCAGAAAGCACCTCTTCTAATTTCAGAAGTCAAATGTGGCTTGAGTATCACACACGTAACACACTATTTTTCTTTCTTAAAATGTGTATACATTTTTTGTCGCCTTCTGTGTATGAGGGTTTCGGCTGTTCAAGGCATGTTTTATTTCTTAAGGAAGGAGGTGTTCACAGTAATTGCTTCTTAAAGCCTTTTCTGGATGTGACACATTTTATGAGAACTATTAAAGTAGCAAGTAACAGCCGCCAGAAGCATGCTCATCGCAAAATTGTCAGTGGAAGAAGCAGGAAACAAAATTGAATACGCACTATACTCCCAAGTTTGTAAAAACAGAGCAGATCAAGAGAAAAACGAATATAGCTCTGTTCAAAGACCAGCAGATAATACATCAAAGCTGTTTGAAGTCTGAAGATGATTTTACGTCTTCTTTATACTTAACATTTTATTATATTTTCCAAATTTTTCATAGTGAGTACATATGGCTTGGGGGATGAAAATCAAGTATTGCTTTTATTAAATAGGTATTTTTTCAGCCTAGCACTAAGGTGGGTATTCCTGACAATAGCAGATGAATGGATCTTTCTATGGAACAGTCAGGGCCCCAGAGCCCAGGTGGCAGTGCTCCGGAGATGCTATGAGTGACTTCTCTTGTCTCTTTCAGGTCACAGCCCCGCACTTCCCCGTGGTGATCAAGCTGGGACATGCACACGCCGGGATGGGAAAGGTATGAGACACAGCCCCCCTCACAGGGGCTCTGCTGACGGTTCTCCCAGGCTACCTGCCCCCACCTCACCTAGAACAGAGTGCTTAAAAGAACCCACTCCACCAGCCACCCTTCCTAGCCGCCTTCCTCAGAGCTCCTATTGTGCGGAACATCCCCTAGCTCCGTCTGTGCTTGTCAGACCCCACCGAATTGCTAATCATTCTCTGTGATTGTGGCTTCAGAGAAATGTAGGCAAAGCACTTTGCAGAGCGGGGTCTTTTGGGAGGCCTCACTGGCATCATCTCCACAGCCAGGGTGTAAGCTCATGTCCTACTCACCTCTTTGTCACCTGCAGAGCTGGCACCAGAAAGTGGCACACACACATGGCGCTATGGAAGGAAGCCTCTGCAGTAGGTTAGCTCCTGCAAAAGTAACTACTATCTTTTGCACAGTCACAAACGACATCCAGATCCACTCTATCTTTGTTAGTGTCCAAGCCAAGTCAAATTGCAGAGGAAAAGATAACTCATTGTCCAAGAGATCAGGACATCTCCAGTAGTTCTTGGTAGATTTGGGCAGAGCTGGGTCCAGGAGCTCGGATGAAATCAGTGGAACTCCGTCTCTCTCCACGTCTCTCGGCTCTGTTCATCGCTACCTGGCACTTTCTCCAGAGAGCGAAATGGCTGTGAGCTGCACGCCCTGGTCCCTAAGCTCACCACACCCAAGCTATAAAGACCCTCTTTCTTCCCAGCATCTATGTCTCTAACCCCACGGAACCAGCCCCCACAAAGGAATGGGGAGATGATTGAATCATACCTCCAGGCCCCTCAGGAAAGGGAGATTCCTCTTCTAGATAAGAAGCAGGAGGGAGGATGGGAGGGACTGGGGAGAGGCTGCCACAGCCCACCTCTGTGCCATCCCCATTGGAGGGACCTTAGCCCAACATAATGCCTGCTACTGTGGGTCCCAGGTAAGCTCAGCAGGGGCTGAGCAGTGTGGGACCTGAGCAGAAACCTTGCTGGGAACAGGCCCACCCAGGCCTGACAACTCTGCACTTCCTCGTATATTCTTCCCCCTCCCTTATCTGTGTCATCTCCTGCTACCTAAGCTGTACCCCCTTTGGTTGGCAGAGAACGAGAAAGGCCAGGCAGGTCAGGGCATGACCCAGAGCTCTGACATGTGTGAAGTTACCATCTAACCTCCGATGGTAATAATTCTAATAACGCTCTTTAAAATGAATCCTCCCTCTAGACTCCATCTCCCTAGAAAGTATCCGTCATGAGGACAGGGAGCTCTGCCTGGAATACAGGAGCCCCCCATTTCTTGGCTGCATGGAAAACCCCCTTCCACTCCCACCCTATGTCTATCTGTCCCCAGCACCCCTCCACCCTGCAGACACCTCCAGCCCTTCAGCTCTGCTGAAGCAGATCCGTTGCCCACAGTGATCCTCTGATGCTAATTCTGCAGCCGCTTTTGTGTCCTTACCAAATCAACCTCTCTCTATCCTTCACAGCTATAGCCATCCCTTCTGTCCCCAACTCTCCCTCCGGGGCATGCTCGCCTCCCAGCCACTCATGGTCTCCTTCAAGGACTTACCTTCCTGCACCATCCCTGCCCATGGCCACCCCATCTGCACACGCTGTCTGAGCGCTCTCCTGGGCTCCCTCGGCTGCAGGCACCATCCACTGGCCAATAACACCCAAGTGGAATTTCCTCTTAGAGCCAACAGGCCTTTCTATCCAGTTCTGTCTTCTGTATCTCCACCTGTCTCCCATGGAAACCTCAGACTCTACCCACCCTCTTCCTCCTCCTCCTGGGGCTTCCACCTCTGCAGCAGGAACCACTAGTCACCCAGTTGCCTCAAAACAGAAACTTGCCAGTCACCCCACCATGTCCAAAGGTTCCTCAAGTCTCATCAATCACTCCTTATTACTGTCCCTCTAACCTGTCCCTTTTTCTCTCTGCTCACCTGCCGCCTTCTTGGGCAGCTCAGGTAAACCCAGAGGGTTCCCCCAAATCAAAGTCTGTCTCTTAAGTTTAAAATAATCCCCAACAAGACACAAAACAAAGGCAATATTTATAGAGATTGACGCAATGCTCGTGGGAGGGGGTGTCTCCGAGAAACTCAAGCCCAAGAGGGCCTCCCAAAGTGTGGAAAAGCAGGCACATCTCCGAGGATAAAAACCGACACCAGCAGAATAAACTGAGGTTTGCGAAAATGCTGAGATCAAGGGAAAAAGACTTTTCTCTCCTTCTGTCTGGATGAGAAAAACTTGCAGGAATGGTCTGGACATGTTGACTGAGCAAATGATCTCATGGTTATGGCTGAGAGGGAGTAAAAGAAAACTGGTACCTCCCGTGGTTCATCCACCTCCTCTCGAGAAGGAGTATGGTCTGCCTGGACATAAGCAGGGAGAACATTCCTGCAAGAAAACTTGTAAGGAGGCTGCCAGTGAGCTCAGTGGGCTGTGAAATCTACCCAGAGCCCTGGGGATGCAGTCACTGACCTCCCTGAATCATACTTCACTCCTCTGTCCCCGCACACTGGCAGGTGCCTACACTAAGCTTAGAATCAGAGGAGCAATAGGACCCAGGCCCTGCCCTCAAGGACGTGGGGAGATAGTCACATAAATAAATAAGTATAGTGTGTTGTTGGGGGCTGGTAGAAGGCTGTGCAGAGAGGGTGAAGCTCAGAGGAAAGAGCTTAATTCCACGCAGGGTAGAGAAAACAGGAAAGCATCCTCAGAGATGAAGGCTTGGTTTGGGGAGATGAGCAGGGAGCCTGCAGCTCAGGTCATTAAAAGCTGTTGGGGTAAGGGGCAAGATCAACTAGTGAGAAGAGGCCTGTTGCATAGGGTCCCAGATAGGGCTGGTGTGTCTGGAGATTTAAGGAACCCTAACAAACATGGAGTTCTAGAAGACAAAGGATGGGCCAATACCAAATACTCCCTTGTATTAAAACAAAGAACAGTAAACATCCCAAAGCACAAACATCAAAATATAGTAAAGCTGTCAGCAGTTGTGGGAAGGAGGGAACACCCTGAGATGTTTAGAAGGCAGTCAGGTTACACAAGTGGCGCAGAGGGAGGTCCTGTCCCCCAGTGGGCATTTGGCCATGTCTAGAGGCAATTCTGGTTGTTATAACTTGGGGGAGGGGGCAGGTGCTACTGGCAGCTACCAGGTAAAGGTTCAAGGTGCTGCTAAACATCTCACAACACATAAGACAGCTCCCCGCAACAAAGGGTTATACCACAGCATGGGTCAATACCATAGTCCCCCCTTATCTGTAGGGGATGCATTACATGACCCAAAGTGGATGCCTAAAAACTCGAATGGTACCGAACCCTGTATATAATGTGATTTGTCCTGCACACACATACCTGTGATAAATTTGAATTTCTAAATTAGGCACAGTACCTGTGTTTTGGGACCATTGCAAAGTAAAATAAAGGTTACTGGAACACAAACACTGAGATAACCTCAAATGTCGGTCTGGCAACTGAGGTGGTGGCCTTCATGATGTGGAGACCCTGGACAAAGTGGTGATTCGTGTACTAGGTAGTGGGATGGAAAGGGATGGTGCAAGATTTCATCACACTACTCAGAAGGGTACACAATTTAAAACTTTGAATTTCAGGGATTTTCCACTTAACATTTTCAAACTAAGATTTCAGATAACTGAAGCCACAGATGGGGGGAGGGCTACTGGAGTGTCAAGGTTTAGAAACCCTGAACAAAACTAACTTCATTTCCTTCGTTGACAGTTTTATTAGACTAGAAACCAGAAGAAGCAGTGGGGATCCCAGTTTCAAAGTGTGTTCCAAAGAATTATCATTTATTCAGGATGCTGACGTCTAGTTAGGTCACATAGGTTTGGAAAAATTTATGTTAAAGTAAGTTTTCAGTGCAGAACTTCTCAGGGTCATAAATTTGGTCATATATGTTATGGGAGTACAAGCACATAGAAGAGTAAGCAGAAATTCCCAGATTTATCCAATCCCAGAAGTATTTGACCATTTTTTATACAGATGGTCGCTCTTTTGTTAATTTGTAAGAACTCTTCAAAGAATATTAATCCTCTGTCATTTTTTCCACTGTTTTCTCCTTTTAGTAATTGTATGTCCATCTTATTGTTCAGTTTTTAGCAATTTTTAAAGATTTTTAAAAGCAGTCAAATGTTTCCATATTTGGAAGCATCGTGTTCCAGCAGCTAAGGTGTTGAATTGAATCTGGTTACACTGCTTGTTACTTGTGAGGCCTTAGGTAAGTCACTTAGCCTTCCCCACCTTAGTTTCTTACGTAGAATGAAGATAATGATAGTATCAACCTCATAGGCTGGTTGTGAGGATCAAGAGACTTTTATATATGTCTAGCTTCTAGCCTAGTGCCTGGAATGAGTGAGCACTCCGGTAATAATAGCCACCATTGTTATTAAGAATGTTCAGACCTGCTCTGGAAACTCAAAATCCAACTGCAGTCAATAGGGGAGATATGACTAAACAGCATCATATGTCAGAGGCTTTATTTCACTTGGCCACAAGTTCAGTGTGAGTCAGCTGAGTATTGAGCTGCCAAAAAGTCTAATCAATGAATGCCAAACAAATAGATGAAAATGGGCTCAACTTTCTTATTCATCAGAGAAATGTAAATTGAAACCATGATGAGATGCCACAATGTACTCACCAGAATAGCTCAAATGAGAAAGATTAATCATGCTCAGTCCTGGAGAAAGCACAGAACAGCTGGAACACACACACACACAGACAAAGCATAAATGTTTTGTCAGAGCTTAAATGGTATGACCACTTTGGAATAGAGCTTGACATTATCTACAAAGCTGAAGTCACACTAGTGTTCTTTGAGGTAGACCCAACTGAATACCTGCATGTGTGCACCAACGCGTGTTTATAGTAGCTTTGTTCATAATTTCCAAAACTCATGTGTCTGTTAACAATAGATAAATAAATTGCAATATATTCATTCAACTGGAATATTTTCAACAATAAAAATGAATGAACTTA